TCTGTGCCTATATTGACTATATATAAAGTGTTTTTCCCACGGCACACCTTACACTATGTCACGGCACACTAGTGTGCCGCGGCACAGTGGTTGAAAAACACTGCATTAAGACACCCGTTGATTTCTTTTGTGGGTCCAGCGTGGCGTCTTTGATTCTTGTATGAGAATCATCTTTAAATCCATGTTTTAACCCATCGATAGAGGCTGACGCGGTTAAAATTAACTTTCCAATCCAGGGTTCAAAAAACACCCTTCGATATGTCCCACGTTTAAATGCTTTACTTCATTCTGCGAGTCCAGCGTCAACTTCCGTCTCCTCTAAGTGTAAGATGGAATTCCTTGGATTCCCAATTTCCTCCAATGTCCGACCTTCAAAGTCTCCTTTTATTCTGTTTTTAAGAGATTTTTTTTTTAATAATAAAAAAGCATTTTCCCCCAGGGAAAGATTGTGACGGTTAAGATATTTTCCTCCCTGGGCGCAGAAGAAAACTCCACATGGGCGACAGGAAGGGCATCTGGCCAATAAACAGCTCCATTCAGCAGCCCAGGCTCCACCCCAAAGCAAAGGATTATGGGGTGGTTAAAAGAAGATGATGACAAACGATTGGGACGGTTAAATTTGCAAAATCTTATTTCAGATCCATTCGTGGACTCTTCGTCCAAATGTTGCGATTTTCCCCAATCAAAACTCTTATTGGCATTTATCATTGTTTTATAAGCAAACAGCAGCAAGGCGGAAATTTAAGTGGAGAGTGCCACCTACTGACGAAAGGGAAAACTACACCTATACAAAAAACTGTGTGTTTGTATGTGTTGCATTTGTGCTGATAAATAAATAAAGAGAGACTAGTATAGATCTATTTCAAGCTATTTAGCTTTCATCAGCTAGCCATACCCTTATTGGGATTTGAATATATATATATATGATTTTTGTTAGCCATTTCATGATTAGGGGAGAGCCCAAAATATAAAAATGGGGGACAAACTGTTTAATCAAAGGGGACACCTGAACGCCATGCAAGATCATGTAAAAGGGGTGGAAAGAGGCTTTTGACGACCCCTGGGACTATCTAAGGGGAACTGAAGATACACCCCCTGAAGGGGAATTTAAGGACTGAGTAAATACTTTTTGGAAGGTTGCACAAAAGTTGAATCTCCT